TAGTAGCTGAGTGAACTTAGTGCAATTAGGACAGTACCGTATAGGAGCTGACATGGACTCAACAACTGTGACTAAAGGTGATCACCACGACATGCCCTCAGAAAGAGAGCCCCGACCAATCCCATGTGAAAATGTTTCCCCGCTAGAGACAATGGAGGAGATGAAATTCACCTGATGAATAAGACGCATTGCCTCCGAGCACGAGAGGGTCGGTATTCGCAGAGTCACTTGACTGATCTCAGCACTTCCATCTGTCGGGTGGAGTTCCCCAACATTCTCCATCAGCTTCAACGTTGCCTTCCTCTAGAGACTCCATCACACCTTGCGCCCAAAAAATCATCCCGCCTCATGTTCGAGGGACTTTCGTGTTCCGCCTCGCTCAGAACTTTAATCTCCATTAAATCGCCTCGAATAGTGACCTCGGACTTCTCCAACGATCACACCTTTCCTACCTAACACACTGATCATTTCTCACGAACCTCGGACCTCAACGATTCGCCTCAAAGCCCTGGAGCAACCACAACTTATTCAATTGCCATCGCTAATCCAAAGCTCGTGTAAACCCTTGTCGCAAAGACCACGTCGCTATTCAATAGAGAAAAGTGACATGATATAGTTCCTACATGATCAACAGGAGCGGTCCCGATCCCTCCCGACTGTATAACACAAACCTTCGACAAACTCAGCGAACGAGCAATTTATTGCTCTCAAGAAATGCAAACAGTTAGTGTCATAAACGGCAAGTCGTCATAGTGGCAGCCGTTGTAGCTGCACTTCTACTACTACAGCTTATAAAGCATTGAGGACAGGCAACGGGAGGCACTATCCCCTCGATGATAGCAGCAGCAGCAGCTCTCGGTGGTGCATAGTCCTCATCCAGTGAAGAGGCTAGCAGCCGAGTGGCTGACTCGTCAACTTCTAATTCGTGCAACTGGCGGATCTAGGGAACACATGAGTGGCCTCAGCAATGCCAGAAACGTCCTTACTTTCCGCCTAACTTCAATGCAGAACCACGTCATACCAACGGTAAGGCATATGATACCAACTATCATGAGTGCCAGTGTAACAGGATTGGTGCTTTCAGACTGGCAATAACATGAATCTTGCTATCTTGCGATTTCTCAACGCTTACCCCTGTAGACATCGCTCCTAGTATGCTGCTCGTTGTGACCCCGACATATACGAAGAGTACCGAGAAGAGAAAGCCGACTGTTGTAGAGGCTATGAGGAACCCTTGGAAGGATACTGCCGTTACAGAAGCGCCATAATTCTTCACCCAAATCGGCACCTGAGATCGGGGATCATAACAACAGTATGATAACAGCAGTTTCTACTCACATACATAAACCTGGACAAGAAGAGGAACTTCAACTCCGATTTTTCCGTGAGAATTTGCAACGCATTATAGTAGTCGCTCTTGTCCAACGCAGAACGCACAAAATCAAACCTAAGAGTGTCACTGTCATCACGAAGCCTCCCATCAGTAGCAGCCGAGACTCACCAGAAATACCGTCCCATAAGGAAGGATACTGCACAACCCATGGTCTTAGCTGGGAACGCCACCAGGAGCGCACGCCTGAGGACCGCGACCACCATCATAGAAACGCACATGACGAGTAGTCAGAGCATACCACTTCAGGAGAATCCCTCCTGTCACCTCCACGGCCGATATTGGTATACCACAAACAGTCGATAGGAAAACTATAACTGAACAACAACAAAAATAATGTTACGCTACCACAGCAGTGACGACAGTCACCTCCGATGAGACTGTACTCTTTTATACAACTGGTGTCCTCGCTCGAGAGGGACTGTAAATATTCTATCACCTAAGGTGACAACCACCAGTGTTGGAAATGTATGTTCGCTTTCCTCAGCTGAGCTCAGGAGTTTCCTCACTAATCATGAGAGTTCATATACGACTCAATGTAAAAGTGTACAGAAACAAACAATAACTTCCCAAAAAATTTCCTCAAAATTTTTATATTGTCGCCGACACATGTGCATATTATTTTTCCAAATTGCTAACGATCACCCAGACACCTAATGCCTCGTACTTCTCTAAAGGAGGGGAGCAGTCCCGACCAGACATGCTTGTGCTTCAATTCGACCAGTAGGAATACCAACAGCGATGCAATAACGAGAAGGGGGACCAAAGGCTTCCATAACGTCTTAAAGCTCTCTCTTGAGAAGAGGGGGAGGGATATCATACAATATCTTCGACAAGAGAGAATCAACTACCATCACCAATACTTCTACTGTTGCTCCCGATGTCCTTATGCGATAACGAAACGAGGTCAAGGCATAGATTGAACACAGGAAAATGACTTCATCTGAGCTCCTGATGAAGTATAAAACGTTCATTCATGTCTCCTTGCGGTACGACGCGAAGGCCGGCCGAAGTGATCACCAAGATAGCACTCAGTTCTGGAATACTCTCCAATGGGCTCGAGAGCGTCAGCTGAGGCCTCCCGACGAGCTCACTATCCACTTCCGTGAGCAGTCAAGGCTAAGCATGGAGCTTAGAAAGGATCAAGTGATTCAGTCTTCACATGGATTCCGCTCGAAGCCGTTAGCTCTCTCACCCGAGGACAGTCTACTGCTTTGAACAACCAATTTCAACACTCACTCGCGCTAGTCGAGCCGCCTCTGACTACAGACATGCTACTACTTCTATACAAGAAGCTGTCTAAACCTCAAGGTTCGAGGAGCACATCAAAATTCGCCTACAACGTCTCGTTCAATACACGCTGTATGCTCTCGGACGAGGCAAAGGGGACGGCGATCTCCCTTCCACAGAGAGGTTTCTCCCATGGACCCTTCTATGAACACATGACGTTCATAACCACAGTTGTTGAGGAGACCAATAGCCACCATCCCGCTCGAGCTTCCCAAATACTACAGCATAACCACATATTTCCCTATCCTGACAACCTCCTCCGTCCT